GAAAACTTACCCTGGTTTAAGTTATTTATTCTGAAGGGTTTGGAAGGATTCAAAGCTCAAGTCTGAAAAAAAAAGTGTTTTGTTAGATAAAGTTGATAGTGGAGCCAGGTTTTAAAGGTGGATGCATTAGTGTAGCTTGTTAAGAACATAGGATTGTCCAGTTACATCAGGGGTCTCCAAACTTTTTAAAGAAAGGGCCAGTTTACTGTCCTACTGACTGTAGGGGGGCCGGATTGTGCCCAGTAGGAGTAAACAATGTCCAATTTTTGGTATTGGGTGGAGAATTAGTTGGTGTCACTGGGAGAATACTGCCCCATTTTTGTTGTCAGTGGAAGGAATTATGCCCCATTGTTGGTGTAGGCAGCAGGAATAATGCCTTAAGAACCAGATAAAGGCAAGCAAAGGGCCATAGCCCCACTGAGTTACATTTTTGTTTTTATATTAAATAGATACATTAGTAGATTTACCAGTAGAGGGAGCTCTGTGGTGTGCATATGCAACCTCCCTGCTTGATATCAGATTCAAGGAATGTATTGTCTTCAATGTTGCAGTCAGCTCATAAGCTTGAAGTTGTAGTAAAGTAAAACAATTGTGTAGTGCTGCAAGCAGATAACAGGCTCTATAGTGGCTCATTTACACTCCAGCCATGAACCCAGTATCAGTGTTTTCAGCCAGCAATGCTGAATGTTTTAAAAGCAATCCAAGCAGCTAAACAGCTGCTGACTTGTTTAAACAGGTGGAAGAAGGCCCCCTCCCCCCCGGCTATCATGTCCCGGGAGAGCCCAAAATAGCAGCCGGCAGGTTCGCTGGCTGACCACACAAATGATCAAGGACTTTCATCTCTGTGTTTACTGGTTGGTTACTGGCCAGTGAAGCAGCTGATCAGACCAGTGTCTGATTTGCTGCTTTGAAGGCCAAAGGAGAAATCTAGGGTCTAAAAGATATCTCCATAGGGAGGACCTGTCAAGGCCCATGCTATCACAAGAGATTTTGTGATAGCAATACACTGCTCAAAAAAATTAAAGGAACACTTTTTAATCAGAGCATAGCATCAAGTCAATTAAACACCTGGGATATTGATCTGGTCAGTTAAGTAGCAGATGGGGTTGTTAATCAGTTTCAGCTGCTTTGGTGTTAATGAAATTAACAACAGGTGCACTAGATGGGCAACAATGCGACAACCCCCAAAGCAGGAATGGTTTTACAGGTGGAGGCCACAGGAATGGTTTTACAGGTGGAAGCCACTGCCATTTTTTTCCCTACTCACCTTTTCTGACTGCTTCTCACTAGTTTTGCATTTGGCTAGGGTCAGTGTCACTACTGGTAGCATGAGGCAATACCTGGACCCTACAGAGGATGCACAGGCAGTCTAACTCCTCCAGGATGGCACATCAATATGTGCCATTGCCAGAAGGTTTGCTGTGTCTCCCAGCACAGTCTCAAGAGCATGGATGGGATTCTAGGGGACAGGCAGTTATTCTAGAAGAGCTGGACAGGGCCGTAGAAGGTCCTTACCAATCAGCAGTACCGATATCTGCTCCTTTGTTCAAGAAGGAACAGGATGAGCACTGCCAGAGCCCTACAAAATGACCTCCAGCAGCCACTGGTGTGAATGTCTCTGACCAATCAGAAACAGACTTCATGAGGGTGGCCTCAGGGCCTGGTGTCCTTTAATGGGCCCTGTACTCACTGCCCGGCACCATAGAGCTTGATTGGCATTTGCCATTGAACACCAGAATGGGCAGGTCCGCCAATGGCACCCTGTGCTTTTCACAGATGAGAGCAGGTTCACCCAGAGCACGTGACCGATGTGAAAGGGTCTGGAGAAGCTGTGAAGAATGTTATGCCGCCTGTAACATCGTTCAGCATGATCGTTTTGGTGGTAGGTCAGTGATGGTCTGGGGAGGCATATCCATGGAGGGACACACAGACCTCTACAGTCTAGACAATTGCACCCTGACTGCCATTAGGTATCAGAATGAAATCCTTGGACCCATTGTCAGACCCTACACTGGTTCAGTGGGTCCTGGGTTCTTCCTGGTGCACAATGCCCAGCCTCATATGGCAAGAGTATGCAGGCAGTTCATAGAGGATGAAGGAATTGATACCACTGAATGGACCCCATGCTTGCCTGACCTAAATCCAATAGAACACCTCTGGGATATCATGTTTCGATCCATCTGACGCCACCAGGTTGCACCTCAGACTGTTCAGGAAGCTCAGTGATAGCCTGGTCCAAATCTGGGAGGGAATACCCCAGGACACCATCCGCTGTCTCATTAGGAGCATGCCCGATATTGTCAGACATGCATACAAGCACATTGGGACCATAAAAACTACTGCGTACCATTTTCAGTTGCTGCAAATGGACTAGCCTGCTGCATCATTTTTTCATTTTGATTTTCAGGGTGTCTGAATTCAGTCCGCTGTAGGTTGTTAATTTTAATTTCCATCAAATGATGGGGCATCTTTACGTTCCTAACCCATTACCCAGTCCATATCAGTATAGATATCCAGCATATTTTTCCCCTTTGAGATATGATGTGTTTTCAAAGTGTTCCGTTAATTTTTTTTGAGCAGTGTAGTTGATCAAGAGAAAAACATGAGTGGTAAAAAAAAAAAAAAAAAAAAATGTAAATAATATGTTAAATTTTAAAGCGCTCCCTGTCCTCACGTTCAAAGGCGAACGCATAGTTTGTGCTTGCATATGTAAACTGTGTTTGTGTCTCACACATGGGCAGTATCGCCATTAACTTTACAGTGAGCAATAATTCTAGCACCAGACCTCCTGTGGAACTCTAAACTGGTAACCAGTAAAGAATTTTAAAGCATTGCCTATGGAGATTTTTAAATACTTTAGTTTGCTACCAGTCCATGAGTGTATACAATTTGAAAGCATGATATGTTCAGTATTTACACAGTCTAACATCATATTTTTACCAAACAACTGGGTATTTTTATGCTTTAAAATTTAGTGGTTTTTTTTTCCAAATTTCGTTTGAAAAACCACAGCACAAATACCATGTCACAAAAAAATTTGCAACAACCACCTTTTTATTCTCTAGGGCCTCTGCTTAAAAAGATATGTTTGGGGGTTGTGAGTCATTTTCTAGCAGAAATAAAAACTGATTTTTACCGGTAAAGTCCCATATAATTTAGTTTTTTTTCAAGATGTAACATTTAGGGATGTGGTACACTGCAGTTGGTAATTAGATCATACTGATTTTTACATGTAGGATAGAAATGTCAGAATTGGTCCCATAGGCAAGTGGTTAAAGCCCAGATCCAGTAGATTAGCGTGCTTTGTGTATTTCTTTCAGATCTTTGTGATAAACCAGTGCAAAACTTTGCCACTATGCAGGAGTTTCCTGTAATACAGACAATCATTGCTGTGCTCTCTCCTTGAGCAAGGGGACTGGTCTGGGGTTGTAAAAACACAAATACTCACCTCTATGCTGCAGCTGTCCCACATCAGCTCTAAGCCTGAGAACTGAGTGATCACATGACTGCCGATCACTCAGTTTTCAGTCTGTTCAGAGCAGAGAGCCATAAATTAAGTCACAGCTCTCTTCCCTTGCGGCTTCAGAGTCGGGTGCCCACTGTGAATGCACAAGTAGCGCTGTTCTTTATGAATGGTCCCGTAGTCGTCTGGGACCGGTCATGTGTCCCAAAAGACTACTGGGAGGGGAGGATAACTTCCGCTTCCGATCGCCCAGGTGATCGCAACAGAAGTGGGGAGCAGGTACCTGTCAAATTCGGGTACCCCCCTGCAGCTCCCCAAAGGTGCCAATCCTTAACGGGAGAAGGGGACAAAGCTTTAAAGCAGAACTTCCCCTTTCCGGTGGAGCTCTGTTTTAAGGGCATGGCGGCCTGCTCCTTAACCAGTAATTGTAGTTTTTTTTTTTTTATTTACATTTCAGCTGCCAGCTGACAGAGCTGAGCCTGAAGGTATCAGTTTCAGGTACCGGAGCATTTGCAAAAAGTACTGATACTCATGCAAATGCTTAGTATCGGCGCAACCCTACTAAATAATATAGTTCAGTAGTTCCAGGTATGCCATTTTGTATATAGTTACATTGCTCCAGCTAAGACCAATGCAACCATACATGCGCATATCTGTGTGAACCTTCTAGAAGCTGAAAAATCACTGTAGTAGAGACCGCTCCTCCAGTGACTTCCGCTAGCTTCCTGGTACTGTGACAAGCAGCCGTCTTGCTGCATTGTGACCACAGAATATCGGCCACTGGGCACGGGCGCCATTTAGAGATCACTTTGCAGTTTCTCAATTATTGAGAAGCATTTTCTGATTGGACATGGTGGAGATGGGGGGGGGGGGGGGGGGATGGGATCATGCTCTCCATTTTTGTCCAATTTATGGAGAAATGCAACGTGATCTCTTAGTCATTGTGACACAGCGGTCAACCTCCTGTCTTCACAAGGCAGCTGTTTGGCATAGAATGTGCAAGCTAGGGGAGATCACGGTAATAGTGATGTCTTCTATGGCGATTTCCAGTTTTTAGAAATCGCCACATAGCAAACACATGATTACATGGTCCAAGCTGGAATACTCATTTAAAATTAATATAGGATATTAATTGATAAAATAAACACAATTCTTGGTAAGGGGCTCAAGCATTTGTATCATTCTGCAGGTTTTATATACAATGTAAAAGGTAAAATATGCCAACAAGTTGAAACTCACTAATTGACATTGCAATATCAGTAAATGTTTGTTTCTCTGCTCAGAACAAAGATCTAAAATAAACACAAACATTTTAATATAAATTTTAACACTAAAAATAGGTCCATACAAAAAAAGGTTTGTTTTCAGTCATTGTTCCAAAAAGTCCAGAGTCACTTTGTGATATGGAAGGGGTACAGTTCAATCACAGCCTGGGTACTTCAGCCATGTCAGTCTGTAGGTGGTACCATCTATCCAAATGGCGCCTAATGGCATGCACAGTTGTTGTCTTCCTTTAGCAGGTGGGTAACACAGATCTTCAAGATTCATTCGGTAGACCAAACAACTTCACAGTGCCAGCTTCACGGCTGCTGTCATACTTGCCATCCTTGTCATCACAAGCAAAGGCCAGAATATATCTCTTAGGGTGCCAGGCCACTGTGAAAGTGGGAGACTCACACTGAACTTCACACAACTTTTCACCTGAAAACATGTCCAAACATTAACACACATAAATAATCAATATAAGATAACTCTGCTACTTTCCTATATATACACTAAAGGGCAACTTCTACAAAACTAATACTACCTGTCACACCACACAAGTGCATAGTGCATAGTGCGTAAGGAGTGTCACAGTCTTCAGGAGATTCAAATTTCACAGGCTCCGCTAAAACCTGCACGCCCACGTGCTCTTTGGAGTGCTACTGAAAGAGAGATCATCACTTTGATGATCAACAGAAAGTGGCAGTGCCCCCCCGCAACTTAAAAGGTGAAACTAATATATGAGATAGACTCATTACATGCAAAGCAAGATAGTTCAAGCTGTGATTTGTCATAAATTGTGATGATTATGGCTTACAGCTTATGAAAACCCCAAATCCACAATCTCAGAAAATTAGAATATTACATGCAATCAATAAAACAAGGATTGTACATAGAACAATATTGGACCTCTGAAAAGTAGAAGCATGCATATGTACTCAGTACTTGGTTTGGGCCCCTTTTGCAGCAATTACTGCCTCAATGCGGCATCAGACTGTGGCACTGCTGAGGTGTTATGGAAGACCAGGATGCTTCAATAGCGGCCTTCAGCTCTTCTCCATTGTTCGGTCTCATGTCTCATCTTTCTCTTGGCAATGCCCCATAGATGCTCTATGGGGTTCAGGTCAGGCGAGTTTGCTGGCCAATCAAGCACAGTAATCTCACGGTCATTGAACCAGGTTTTGGTGCTTTTAGCAGTGTGGGCAGGTGCCAAGTCCTGCTGGAAAATGAAGTCCGCATCCCCATAAAGCTAGTCTGTGGAAGGAAGCATGAAGTGCTCCAAAATCTCCTGGTAGACGGCTGCGTTGACCCTGGACTTAGTGAAGCACAGTGGACCGACACCAGCAGATGATATGGCTCCCCAAATCAACACAGACTGTGGAAACTTCACACTGGACTTCAAGCATCTTGCAGTGTGTGCCTCTCCATTCTTCCTCCATACTCTGGGTCCTTGGTTTCCAAATGAGATGCAAAAGCTGCTCTCATCAGAAAAGAGGACTTTGGACCACTGAGCAACAGACCAGGTCTGTTTTTCTTTAGCCCAGGTAAGACGCTTCTGACGTTGTTTAGGAGCGACTTGACAAGAGGAATACGACATTTGAAGCCCATGTCCAGGATTCGTCTGTGTGGTGGCGCTTGATGCACTGACTCCAGCCTCAGTCCACTCCTTGTGAAAGTCCCCAACACTTTTGAATGGCCTTTTCCTGACAATCCTCTCCAGGCTGCGGTCATCCCTGCTGCTTGTGCACCTTTTTCTACCACACTTTTCCCTTTCACATAACTTTCTATTAATGTGCTTTGATACAGCACTTTGGGAACATCCAACTTCTTTTGCAATTACCTTTTGAGACTTTCCCTCCTTATGGAGAGTGTCAATGATGGTTTTCTACACAACTGTCAGGTCAGCAGTCTTTCCCACGATTGTGATTCCTACTGAACCAGACAGACCATTTAAAGGCTCAGGAACCCTTTGCAGGTGTTATGGCTTAATTAGCTGGTTAGAGTGGGACACTTTGAGCCTAGAATATTGCACCTTTTCACAATATTCTAATTTTCTGAGATTGTGGATTTGGGGGTTTTCATGAACTGTAAGCCATAATCACCACAATTATGAGAAATCACGGTTTGAACCATCTTGCTTTGCATGTAATGAGCCTCATATTAGTTTCACCTTTTAAGTTGCATTACTGAAATAAATGAACTTTAGCACGATATTCTAATTTTTCAAGTTTCACCTATATATCCAAAACATTTTGTTTAAGATCTGGATACAGTTGGGAAGGGTTAAAGTGGTAGAAAAGCCATTTTTTCCCTCTTGTACCTACAGTTAAGCCTATAATAAGGCTTACCTGTAGGTACAATAAATAGATTTACTTTAGCAGCACCAACAATGTCACCGGTGTATGCTCAATGCGCTCTCAATGAACAGAGTCCACTGAGAGAGCTGTGCCGTGGCTCACGCGTGCATGTGTGGGACGTCATCGCGGCTCTGCTGGTCCAACGGCCACAGCCCACAAACCCAGACAAGGTGAAGATGGAAGCCGTGGGGAACCAAGCCAGCGCCCCACTGCAGGGCTTAATTTTCACGGTCTTTCATAATGTGCTAGTATGCAAAGCATACTGCCACATTATGCTCTTAACTTGCATCGCAAGGATTTTTTGGTTGTATTTTTTTAGCGGTTTACTAATGCTTTAAAACTCTTGTTTATTTGGGAAGTTTTCCCTTCACTTCCTGTCTCAGACAACAGAAATGAGAGGAAATCTCTACAAATCCCATCTTAGACAGTTGTCCCCATTGGAAAATTTCTCCTCACTTGCTGTTCCAGTGACAAACAACTCTTTTCCTTTTAATATTTTGTAAAGAAAAGGTTTCGTCTTGCCCCACAATCCCTCATCATTCGCCTAGGACAGGGGTAGGCAATCTGCGGCTCTCTAGCTGTTATGGAACTACATTTCCCATGAGGCACTGTAACATTACAAAACTGACAGTTACAGCTATGACTTGCAGAGGCATGATGAAACTTTTAGTCCTGCAACAGCTGGAGAGCTGCAGGTTGCCTACCCCTGGCCTAGGAGAATGAGATCAGTACCCCCAGTGCCTTGGTATATGTGACCTGCGTATCCCAGGAGGCACAGGGAGCATTATACTCATTCCATTCACCAAAGCAGAAGGAAGCGGGCCTAGTGGTGTGTCATCAGCAGGTGTGCATGAACATGGAAGAGCATCCCAAGAGAAGATGGTGGCGCAGGACCCAGGTGCTGGCTGTAGAGAAAGGAACTTGGGGGGACAACATTGGATCCACTGGGTGGGTATCTTTACAGTGCAGAACACATCAAGTAGGAAAGGGGAAAAAAAATATATTATTGGGGGATTGTGAAATTCCTCTAAGTACAGACTGTACACATTACACTAGCCCACTCAACCACAAAGACCCCAATTTTTTTCAAAAGACCAAAGTTCAATAACAGGCCTTTGAGGCATTGGCCTGCTGTAGAGTATACCGCATTCAACTGAGATCAAGGGCTTTCTGGGTGCATAAATAATGATTTTTGGAATAACACTGGTACATATCAGTAGCTTCGTTTATGAAGACACCCTTTTAAGACCTGACAGGTTCAGTTTAATTATAATATTATACAAAAAAGGTATAGTATTGCATTGCTGCAACTGGAAAACTGTCTAAACCTTTATTTAATATAAATAAAATAATCCAGGGCCACAAGCAAGGTATAGGATGACAGTAGACAACCCAAACAAATCAGTTCAAATGCCTGAATTTAGTCTACTGGGAACGGATTTAATTTAGGATGGAGCCTTTTAAAAAATTGCAGCTTAGCCCCTGATCTGAAAAGTATTTCCGGAGACTGTAACACTTGGACTCGGGCACCTTGTTGGCTTCATAATATACCCAACATACAAGTTGATGTGTTTTACAAGTCATATAATGTATTGGACTCCTAAACAACAACTCCAAAAGAAACTTTTCATGATTCTCTGCTCAGTTTTTCTATAAAAGTATGTTGAAAACCTTTTCTACAACACCTGTTTCAACATGGGCGATGTCAATGAAATGATCCTCAGAAGCAGACGCCAACATTTTTCCATCAAAGCTGAAACTTAGTGTTCTCACAGGCCAATCCAAACTATAAAAAATGGAACAGCAGTTAAAAACGTGGCAGAATTACATGAGAAAAACTGATGTCATTTTATATAACAAGAACCTAGCTGCAGGTTACTGAGTAAACCAAACAGGCAAAACAATTGCTTTCTCAAAGTTGGTATTTGCATACACTTACAGGTAGGTACAGCCTACTGCTGGGGACAGCATTTGGGCTTTTTGACAGTTCATTAAAACAGCAAGCACTACATTGTGGGCTGGAGAAGGGGGACAGACTTCTTACCCTGCATTCTTTTTTCTTTTTTTTTTTTTTTTTTTTTTAAAACATGCTATGCTGTAGGGGCTTACAAAAAGTGGCCTGTAGGTATGTTTTTTTTTTACTTTATGGTACATACAGTTTCACTTTTAGCTGCCATCTTTCTGCTGGAGTAAAAAAATATAGGAACTGGCACTGCTAACCACCCTCTAAATAGTCTAGTTGCCTGGCTTCTACGTTTTTTGAGCTAGAACAGGAACAAACATGCAAATTAAAGACTGAAGTCAGAACTCCTGACCTGCATACTTATTCCAGGTCTGTGCCTCAGTACTTAAAGTGGTTTTAAAGGCTAAATTATTTTTTACTTTAATGCATTCCCTGACTAGACCCAGTGTGATCTCGTCTCCAGCACCACTCCTCCCTCTTCGTAGTCTAACAGGAGACTCCGAGAGCAGCGGAAAACATAGGCTTCTGCTGCTGTCAGTCAAATATTGTGAGGAGGGATCGGGGACGTTGCCAAGCTGTGTGTGTCTATGGACATGGTTTGCTGAGTGGGGGCAATCAGAGGAGAGCAGGAGCATAGAGCTTCAGCAGGGGACTCTAAAAGAGGAGGTAAGGGACTGCTGTATGCAATACCATTACACACAGCAGGTAAGTATAACATTTTTTTTTAGTTTAATTTAAAAAATTAAGTTTGCCTTTAGAATCACTTTACTAAGATTTCTAACAACTATAGTTAAATTAACAGATATAAGCAGGCTCAAATTCACTAAGCTACAGCAACTGTTTTTAGTAATAAGAGCTAAAAGTGATTATGGGAAATAAAACAGGTTATAGCTTAGTGAATTGAGCTTTAATTCATTTTTTATACTTCAAAGTTAAATATTATCAGTATGTGAACATGAGAGTGACTGTTCACTGGTAACTGCATTGTCAGAGTCATACCGTGAAAAGCATCGTACACACACTAGCTCTTCTATATCCCATAAACTGACCAGGGCATCAGCACTGCCTGTGGCAAAATATTTCCCTGTAGGATCAAACTTTATGCAGATGCAATTGGATGGGTGTGCATTGATTGACTGAATTGGCTTTAACTCTGGGTAGCTAAAAAGAAAAAAAAATAAATAAAAACACAGGTATTAGCATCTCAAAAGTAAACACAAATCACTGTTAATTATGTACATTACAATGGAAAACAAATTGACTACATAAACCCCTGTGGAAGTGGAACTAAACTCAAAAAGTGCTGTATAATAGGGAACATTTAGAAAAAAAAACAAAAAAAAAAAAAACTAAAAAAAAACAATGTATCCACTTTGGGAAATAATAGCGATGATTTGGGTCCTTCATATTATTTCGCCTGTGGTCTCTCGGAAACTCATATTTTCGCCATTACTGATTTACCACCCTTTTATCTCTTTTGCTTAGGCAGCCATCTTGGTAGAGGTAGTTGTCAGAGCCTCCAGCATTGATAACATTGAGCACCACAGTAGTGACAACACTAAATCTCACCCCAGATATACGGAGACTAGCAGGCAGTAGTGCCTTAGATGTCACACTGCAGATGCACACACATCAGAAAATGCACTGATATTTTCAAAGATGAACAACAGATAAAAGGCACATTTGCACCTGCTCTAGAGCTGGTTGAAATGGCAATGCTCAGTCTCAAAGTCATCATCTGCACAGGATATAAATAGCGGTAGGTCACATACCTCAGAATGTTGATGCAGCCATTTCCATTTGTGAGGAAGAACATATTGTTATCATTGTTCCAAGAGATTTCATTGACCTCAAATTTGAACTGTTCCTCTGCTTTGGGACGGTAGGTTTTTACATCTATAAAAGTGACTACATCATCCTTATTGCCTACTGCAATAGTCTGACCATCTGGGCTCCAGCAGATATTTATGTTTTCACCTATAATCAATCAATAGGGATAGGACAAGGATTACTGTAGTGCAGAACACCAATTTTCAGAGACAGCATTTATTTTCCCTTACAGTAAATATCTTGATTTTCTGCAAAATTTTTTTTTTAAATATCCAAGGAACTTACAAAATTAAAAGTGAACTTGTTGTAAAGAATAAAAGCAAACGTAAAGATAAAATTTGACTTTAGGTCTGATGGTCCCTCTTACATCAGCCATGCTAGAAGCAACACCGTTAGCCTTGAAATGCTGATCCTATGTAAGACTGGCTGCTAGCTTGTGTTCACTTCTTTCTTTGTTCCATCAAAAACACACAGAGGGGACCACCCAATTGTGGGCACGTGCAAATGAGTGAAGCAGCACCAGCAAAGCCCACTTGAGGATGCCAGTAGCATTTCCAGGGCTAAAACTTTTAGCATGTGCAAATTGATTGGAACCAGCAGAATTAAAAAATGTCTTTTGGCCACTCTAAAGACCAACTCTAGTCAGAAACAGTTATAACCCCCCTCAGCTTTTTAGTGTTGTGAAAACATCCACTCACTTTTTGTTACCATTTGGTCACCAGGTTGTTGGTGAGATGTAATCTCCCAAAGGAGAATACAGACAGAAGTGCTAAGCCATCTCCACTCTACTAAATTAGAAATGCAGTTAGGGCTTTAAAAGGAATTTCCAGTCAGTATGTTAAAGGGCAAGTTCACCTATGGAACATGTTACATGTTCCACCTGTTTTTAGAGTGGAACATGCAACATGTTCCCATAACTGCAGCCACGCCCACCGCCTCCGCTCCCTCTGACAGATAGTACGGGGAAACTTCCTCCTGTACTATCTGTCAGATTTGAAAACAGTGCGGCTGTGCGGGGCTCCACCCACACGGCTGTTCTGTAAATGAATGCCTACGTTCCGACAGTCTTAGTGGCTGTGGGCTTGTAGTTTTCAATGAACTACCACAGCGCTGTGGAGCACCGTGGTAGTTCATTGAAGCTTCCTGTCAGTATATCTGCTTGATTGTACATCCCGTATGGCAAGCCGATATTCTGACACATCTGCAGGAGACCTGTATGGCATCAGCAATCTACTGATCGCTGGTGCAATGCTTTACAGTTTCCTTTGGACAAAAATAATAAATGCACATTTTTTTAGCTGCAAAAATATGTGCATTTATTATTTTTGTCCAAAAGGTGAACCTATCCTTTAAGCAATCAAAACACATGTAGGTTTACCTGCAAGAGAAAGGATGTAAAGTAATGACTTATGCTACACATGACTACACAGGAGAAGGAGAGTAGCAACACTTTTCAGAGCCTGCAATTCTCCTCAAATGGGACTGCTAATAAACAGCATATTGATAATGCACATCCTGAGCTTCCTCTCAGTACCTCAGCCTCAAGCCCTTATTATGGAAGAACATAAAGTTGAGACTTTAGATTATTCTATTTGTAAATTCATATAAGAAGTGACCCACGACATGTGAGGCGATACCGAGACTTCCAAGTACGGTGAAAATGTATTCAAAATGTCATAGCTTATGATTTGGAAAAAAGTCAACATTTCCACATGATCACAAACAAAATGCAGCTTTTATTGATCACAGGACATCACAGCACCATGACCATAATAAAAATCAAGGACCATACCGATGACTTCCTAAATTAAATCAATAAACAGACAGAATAAGAATTGTTTTATCCCATGCTACATTAATGAATACATAAATTACTTATCTGCTGTGTGCCCTTTTCTCCCAACTGTTCAAATAAAAAAAAAAAAAAAATCTTCAATATATTGTCAGTTGAAGTGGTAGTAAACACCACAGTAATTTTTACCTACAGGTAAGCTTATATTAAAGCTTGCCTGTAGGTAAAAATGAATATCTCCTAAACATGCACCATTTAGGAAATATTGGCATCTGCTAACAACAGATTTTGCTTTTAATGGGCGGCCTACTCGATTAAGCCATCCATCAAACATCTAGAGTCCGCAAACCCTTAAGACCACTGATGGAGGCCCTGTCATCAGTGCCAGCGCGACACTAGAGGGCTTCGCTCTACGGTAAGTCTGACATAATGTGCTAAACACATTATGACACTGCCTTTCAGGGCACTGGATTTTTTTTGCTAGCGTTTACTACCGCTTTAAAAAAGAAAAGCGTGCAGTCAAACAGGTTTGGCAAATTTGAAATAGAGGCGTTGCTGTGCTGCATTTTTACTTATTTGAAATATTCTCAGGTAATACAAAATTCTTATACACCTTACTCACCTTTTGTTGTAACAGTTGTGACACACCTTTCAGATCGGACATCCCATATGCGGATTGTCTTATCTCCTGAAGCAGTGACAAAGAGATCTGGGTTTGAGGGGTGCCAACACAGCTGGTCCACACTGTCTCCATGGCCACGGTAATTAAGTTCTTTTACCTACAATATAAAATAAAGGTCAGCCTTATATTAATGCATTTTGCTGGGCAATTGGGCTGCAATCTGACTCACAGTGCAAGGTTCCTAGCTTTAATTGATGCGTTAATAAAAGGGGGAGGGGGGGGGTGTCAGTCTGATCTAATGGAGGATCTTCAAGAGGAAGACTCACCGATATAAGGGGACTGTGAGCTAACTTGGGGGTCTCTAAGGGGGGTGCTGACTGCTGCTGATCAGAAGTCAGCACCCCTCCCATAAGATCAGAGCCCCCCCTATATCAGCATCACCCCCCTTAGAGACATCCCATTAGATCAGAGTCCCTTTATATTAGCACTCCCCTTACATGCCCCCTCCCTCATTAGATCAGATTCCCTTTATATTAGCACCCCCTTAGAGACCCCCCCACCATTAGAGTTCCTTCATATTAGCACCCACCTTAGTGGCCCCCCATTATACCAGAGTCCCCTTTAGAGATCAATGGTTGGTTACCTCTGTTGCCAAAAACAAAGCCCTGACAGTCAAATAAACTGGCTCCTAATTTTTTCAGCTGGCTCCTAGATTCAAAGCAAATTTGTCAAGCCCTGTATGTGTCACAAAAACTCATTAAAAATCTGTTTCCCCATCAGTGTACCAAAATAGCACAAATTGTGACAGATTCATGTACATGTCGGCAAGATGAATACAAATAACACAAATGCTGACAGAACGGTCACACCATTTGTAAATTATGAACCTAAAACGGTTTACCTGCCTTAGCATTGCTGGGGCTTCATGATGATGAGCAACAGTCACATTATCTGAAATTGCTGATCTCATATCTCCTCTATTATGCCAAAAGAGAGATTCTATAAAAGTGGAACTCTGGGGATCCCCAAGTGGCGTCATCTTGGGAATCGGCTGTGGATGAGGCCCTTCCAATGTACAAGCTTACCTATATTAATAGGGGCTTTCCTTGGAAATACGATAAGGTAGGGCTCGCCTGGACATCTCACCAAGGTACTGTGGTGGCCCATTACCCTCTGCTAGGATTTCTCAGTTTTTTTTTTTCCCCTCCCCCCCTTTTCCTCTACTTCACTGGATATCTGTTTTGGGATCCTTATATCCTTGGGTTTTTCCCTCACACTGCCTCTAATGAGGCAATATTGGACTGATTTTCCATGATTGTTGTATGCAGTTTGTTCTGAGTCTCCTTTCCTTTTGTCCTACATTGGATGTTATGCAATATATTGTTAATGCTCTTCTGTATTGTACTATACCTACCATGTCAAATGTTTGCATTGCGCATCTGTTGTAATGTTTTTGTACGTTCTACAATAAAACACCGCTTTTGTAAAAAAAAAAAGAACATACAACAGGAAAATACTGCATAATGCCAGTAGATGGAGCTGAGGATTGTAAGAAATCAATAAATCTTGTCAGAAAAAGAAGCATACATTCTAGAGTATGCTGGTGGGAGCTGGTATATAAATATACACATAACAATTGTTACTACAGGAAGCCAAGAAATGTGTCAATGGCCACAGGTAAATTGTCAGTGCCAGAACAATGTAAGAAAATAACTAAAGCAACAGCTATTAAACGCAATTCTAGCCAAAACTGTCTCTTTAATTTTGAAGTGTTGACAGGTTAGAGAAAAAAAAAAAAAAACAAGGAGATTTGTGTACCCTATATAATATATATGTGCAATGCTTTGGAAACTCCTTAGGGAAAAAATAAAAAATAAATTTATTTTTTTCTGCAAAGATACAAGTATTTACTTACTTGATACCATGATACCAACAATGGGGAAACTATTCCCCCCCCCCCCCCCCGTTGATACCAACAATGGGGAAAGTATACCCCCCATTGATACCAACAAGGGGGCACTATTTCACCCCCGAATACCAATCATAGGGCATGGTTTACTCTCACTGACGCCAGGACATGTTCTACTCCCACTAGCCAAGTTTGAATAACAATAAGCTGGCCTTTTGTTTAGAAAGTTTGGAGACCCCCCCGAACTAGGGGAATTATAATAGTAGAGGCACTCAACAGAACACAACAGCAGCTGGGCAGTGACCTTGCTGCAGATTTGGTCTAGCCACACTTCCTCCAGCCCCTGAAGGCACCATTCACACCTGAGTATTTTGTAGCTTAAAGCCAAAAGATACAAAACGATCAGGGAAAAAGAAAAAAACACAGAAATCAAATATTCTCTATGATGGCTACCTGCTCCAAAACTCCTGAAGCCACATTTTTGGTGTTTTTTGGTGTTACTTTGTAGCTTGATTTGGGCAGGATTGGTGCATTTTTGAAGCAGCTGAAAGCAGACACAGATAGCAACAAATGATGTACCAGATGATAGCTTTTTCTATTGGCTAATACAGTGACTCCAAAACACTTAAACACTGTTGAAAAACAGCGCACGACAAAACACCCCCCAAAAAAAAGGGACAAAACCGCGATACTCAAATATGAATGCAGCTGAACCAACCGTCCACACTGACCAAGGGCTGGGGGTAAACACTTCAAGAGCCTGTGCACTGCACCCACCACACACTGGTTCAATGCTCTGCTAGCTTCAATGAAAAAAGTCATGAGTGCACCTTGATCATAAGGCTCAACAGGGCAACACTGTCCCATCTACTCTCTTTGTGCAACCAGTGCCCTTCCACATTCCCTGATCTGAAAGTAATAAGAAGGCAGTGTGTGGGCACCTGAGCCAGGAGATACACATAGCTGGGATGGGAGGTAGACAGCACACATAGAACACTGGGCTGACGATGAAAGCTCCTATCACGCGACAGGTAGCGCCGTGCTCAGGTCCTGCCCTCTTACCAGTCGGTCTTTTTCCAGAACAAACACGCTGGCCGTCTTGTCGAAGGAGCCAGAGGCGAGACGGCGCCCATCACAGCTCCAGGCCACCGAGTGCACCTTGGCGCTATGTGCCGGGAATTCTCGGGTCTTGCTGTTTCCACGGAAATGTTCCTGCAGAGCCTGAGCCGACATGGCGATCCACGCAGCACACGTCACCAAGCTGCGACGACCGGCGGCGCATTGCCATGATTGTGCTTCCGGGTTACCAGCCCCGCCTTCCCTGGTTATATACAAAACCTAGGATAGCCAATTAAATCATTTCTTTCATTTTGTATTTCACAATAGAACATTGATATCTTTAATGTAACATGAAGATACACTGGAATAGCACCTAAATGTGTTAACTAAGTCAGTAGGGTTGACATTTATTTAAAGTAGAACTAAATGAGAAACTTTTCTTTCATTTTGGATGAAGTAAGGGAGACTTATAACCTATGTTAGGCGTTTTGTTTTTTTCCCCATCTGTTCCCCTTCGTAGGGATTTCCTTTCACTTCTTGTTCTGTCACCAAAACAGCAAGTGAGAGGAAATCCCTCCAAAGTGAGGGAATCCCAGGTTGTCACCTGAGACCATGGGACTAGTGGCCCCTCTCTTTAGGGTTGCCACCTCATCCCTTTAAACCCAAACACATATTAACCACTTGCCTACAGGGCACTTATACCCCTCTCTTGCCCAGGCCAATTTCCAGCTTTCAGCGCTGTCACACTTTGAATGACAATTGTTCAGTCATGCGACACTGTACCCGTATGACATTTTTATCATTTTTTTGAGAAAGATAGAACTTTATTTTGGTGGTATTTAATCACCTCTGGGTTTTTCTATTTTTTCTTAAACAAACTAAAAACCACTGAAAATGTAAAAAAAAAAAACGTTTTTTTCTTAGTTTTTGTTATAAAATTTTGTAAATAAGTGATTTTTCTCCTTCACTGATGTGCGCTAATGAGGCTGCACTGATGGACACTGATAGGTGGCACTGATGGGCACTAATGAGGAGGCACTGGTAGGTGGCACTGATGGGCACTGAAAGGCAGCACTCATATATGGCACTGATAGGTGGCACTGTTAGGTGGCACTGATAGGCAGCACTGATGGGCACTGATGCACACTGATAGGCGGCACTGATAGGCACTGATATGTGGCATTTATGTGCACTGGTAGGCACTGATATGTGGCATTGATGTGGCACTGATGGGCACTGGCAGGTGGCATGGATGAGCACTGACAGTTGGCACTGATGGACACTGACAGGTGGCACTGCTGGGGCTACACAGATCATCAGGGCACACTGATCATCAGTGTCCTGATGTCCAGTGTACATGTCCCCTCTGAGGGATGCCAATTACTGGCTCTCCTCTTGAGCTGTCAGCGTGACAGCTCGTGAGGAAAGAAATGCCGATAACCGGCATTTTCCTATTTACATGTGATCAGCTGTGATTGGACACAGCTGATCACATGACCGAGCCGACATCTTCGGCTCTTTCTGTTGATCAGTGATCCGCTGTGTCCGAGGGACACAGTGTCCCGCCAATTGCCGCTCTGCACGCTCCCAGAGCCGCGCATGCGTGGTTAGAATGGGACGACGTCATATGACGTCCTCCCAGAACGAGAGAACTGCCTTGCGCCCATCATTGTACTATATGGCGGACGAGAGGTGGTTAATGACACATGTAGATAAACGGCCGGATGGGAGAGTTGCCGAAGCGGGTTGACGTTTCTAAACTGTGCGCACTCCCTGGAAACATCGATCGCTGTACGGGACCTCTGTGTGAATCCCGATTCATGTGATCACTGATTGGCCAATCAGTGATCACATGCATAGTAGTAAACAAGATGTCTCTTCCTGCCATCATTGCTTACTACTTGTGATATCTGTGAATGATCACAGAGGTCACATGGAACAAGGCTATTCACAACAGCCTTGTACCATGTGACAAGCTGTGACCTATCACAGATATCACAGTATTTCTCAATGGCTGCAAGGATGCAGCCAGAGAGAAGGAGAAATAATTGCTTTTACAGCCTTTATGGGTGTAAAAGCAATCAGTGTAAAAAAGAAAACACCCCCCACAAGTAGTACAGTGTCACTATGGTGACACTACTGCTAGGAAGACAGTATGTTAAAAAAAAAACATATTTAAAAAAAAAAAATGTAAAAAAAATATTTTGAACAATTATAATTTTTGGTTATAAACTAATTTGAGGTAATTGTTTTACTAAAAAAGATAGCTGAATACATTTTGGCCAAGATGTATAAAGAAAGATTATTTATTTGCAAAATTTTATAAGAAAACTTTTTTTTTCAAAATTTTTGGACTTTTTCATTTATATAGCAAAAAATAAATATCCCAGCGTTGAATAAATACCACCAAAATAAAGCTTTATCTGTCTCAAAAAAATGCTAAAAAATTCATATGGGTACAGTGTTGCATAACCGCGCAATTGTCATTCAAAGTGTGATAGCGCTGAAAGCTGAAAATTGGCCTGGACAGGAAGGGGGAAAAAGTGTCCGGACTTGAAGTGGTTAAAAATTTTGCCTTTAGTTTTCATTTAAAAGAGAAGTAGGGCTATTTATATTTGGTGGATGTAGCATCGCTCCGATGCTGCATCTGTCCCCCAACACCTCTAAGGGTGAAAACTCAATGATCACATGACCAATCTGAGCAGAGAGTGGGACTGTCAGTCACCACTGTCTTCTCTGCCCCCCCCCCCCCCCAGTGCTCACTGGAGCGCTGGGATGTGGAGGTGGAGGAAGTGGCTGGCTCAGGCTCTCAGCAGCTCGCTGAGAGGCTGAGCCAGGTACCATTCCAGACTCTGGGGTGGATCCCAACTTAAGTATAAAAGTAAACCCTCACCTTGTAAAAAAACAAAATTGTGTATAAATATAAAAAACATTAAAAAAAACTTTTTTTTTATAAGTGATCATATACCCTCTGTTCTCAGCTTCATAAGGAGCAGAAGAGGAGAAACAGAACACGGACCTTCCCAGTGAATGGCTGTGTGTGTGTGTGGGGGGGGGGGGAGGGGGTCAGAAGAAGCCTGATCATTGGCGGAGAGCACACTGAGTTCCCAGCACAGATAGAAAACTGACCAGTGCTTTTTTAATAGGAAAGCAGAGTGACTGGCAAGAACACCAAGGATAGAGATTTAGTCGGTTCAATAGGGACTGACTGAATATCGATCCATGCATGGGCAGGCTTGTTGTATACAAGCTGATTAATCACTGTATAACCAGCCTGTCGGGTTTTTCTCAATTGATCAGTGTCCCTGGCTAAAGCCAGCAGCACTATGACTGATCACTGTGTTCTGCAGCACCTCAAGTGGTTTATTGAACAGTTCATGGTCCCTTTCTCAAGTAAAGCATACATGAGACTGAAACTGGCATTCATACATTTAAATGTTAATTGCATCCAGTTAAGTTAACTGTCTAGCAGATTTGGACACTATACAACCCAAAGGGTTAAATGTTGCTTTAGATTTGTTCCTTTTTCTGTGAATTGTATTAGTAATTTTCCCATGTGAATTTTTTTTACAGGTTACACTGTGGGTGGAGAATAAGGTGGATACACTGAGATACAATGTTTCCATTGTATTGTATTGTTATATAAACATTTTGTGTTAGTTTCATTCAGGTTGCTCAGTGTGAACTGTCCTCTCATACAAATTGGTAGAGAGCTTTGTGCACAGGTGTTACATGGAATGTACAGGGGTGTATTTAGCACAAGGCAAACAAGGCATTTGCCTAGGGCAGCATTTTTCAGGAGGGGGGCAGCAGCATTTTTCAGGGGGGCAGCTCCGCCCCCCGAAAGAAGGGGACATACACAGCATGGGGACCAGGTGGGATCTGAGAGAGGCTGAGGGCTGCTTGATGGTGTATGCAGAGCCTGAATCTTGTTCCAGGGGATGTCCGGAGCTGTGAAGGTGAGTGTCTCGCCGGGTGGGGATGGGGGGGTTGTCAGTGTATGGGGGGCGGTGGTAGTGGAAGGCTCTCCCGGGGGGGGGGGGCTGGGGTGTTGTTGGTCAATGCCAGGCTCTCTTCGTGGGGGAGGGAGGTGTTGGTCAGTAGCAGGGTCTCTCCATGTGGGGGGGAGTTGATTTTTGTGTTGCCTAGGGCGGCACGAAACCTAAATACACTGGGAATGTGATCAGAAATCATGAATCTGAGCCGTGAAATTGAATATCTATGTGCAGTAAAATGTTTAGCAACAGGGAGCTCTGGTTGATTCTCCTTGAGTGAGGACTTTGCCTTAGTTCACACTGGATGCGATTTAAAATTGCATGTTTTGTTTGCGATTTCACAGCATTTTCTGAAGATTTGTTTGCAACTTGTGAAGATTTCCCAATGATTTCTTGTGTTTTCCATTGTGTTTTGCAGTGCGATTTCTGTTGTAGTCTATGTATGTGAAATCGCAACAAACTACAGAAAAAGTCATGCAAGAACTACTTTTGAAATCACACTGCAGCAAATCACACATGTTAAGACACACACATTCATTAGATCCGATTTAAGGTGCGATTTAAATTCCCAAATCGCGGCACTGTGAACCAGGGCTAACACCCCGTTCACACCGGTGCTACTTGGCATGCGATTTGCATGTCCGCACCCTATTGTCCGCAATTGGAGCTGTCCTATCGATGCGGTTCTGACTTGGTCGCAGCCACATCGATTTCAAAAGTAGTACGTGCACTACTTTTGGTGCGATTTGCATAGACATCTGTATCAGATGTCTTGCACATCGCACCTGAAATCGTCAGGTCCCCCGAATTTGAAAACGTGCAACTTCACTGTAAGTTGCTCAATTTCAAAGTTGGGCTTGATGTGACATACCGGGGATGTTTACTAGACTCTTGTTCGAACAGATTTCAGTGAGTTATTCCTAAAAATTACAGGCCTACAATAAAAAAAATACATATTTCCATGCAAAAAAATGTACCGCTTTGAGCACAGAAATATGGACATAATCAGACTGCTAGGGAGGTTAATGAATTAATCCGAAATTAAACAAATGTTTCCATCGTGCACATCTCTAGTATAACCCACATGGGCATTTTAATCCCTTTGCGCTGACATCACACAAATATGCGGGCTCACAGAACTAGGATTTTTTCCATGGGGCTGCATATCTGCATACCTGTCCTTCTGCTGGGAGTGCGCTGCACAGTGCTCTTCCAGCACAAAGCCCAGGGTGTCATTGAGAGCCCCAAGTCCCGTTCTAATGCTCGGGACCCGGGACTCCCGATTCTGGGTCACATGATCGCTGTGATAGCCTCTGATTGGCTCTCACAGTGATCAGTCACTGTATAGCCCGCCCCCCCTTGTTTTTTTTTTTTAATCTGTGAATGGAGGAGAGAGATACATTGTATCTCTCTAACTCCTAGCATAGAAAAAAAAAATGTTTGTTAAAAAACGATAAATAAATAAATGCATATTAAACAATAAAACAAAGAAAAATACCTAGATCAACGTTTGATTTAATTCAGTGCTAGGGTAAGTGTTTGGGTCAAGGTCAGGGTTTTTATTTTTTCTTAGTTAGTGTCAGTGTGTTTTAGGTAAAAAAAAAACCCAAAAAAACAAAAAAACAGAATGCACACTATTGTTTCTGGGCTGTACTATGGGTACAAACAACAAATAACATACACTTATATGGTTATATTGTATCGCTGTGATCGTCAAGAGCTGGAACATTTATTTTGGGCTGTTCTTTGGTGGTAGGTTATGGTAGTAACAAGAAACACACAGCTAAATTAAAAAAATATATAATTTTTTTTACTATTTTGGCCAGTTTTTTTTTTATAATAAAAAAAAAAAAATTAGAAGATACCATTTACCACCAAAATGAAATCACAATTTGTCCTGAAAAAATCAAGGTATAGTTCACCTGGATGTACAAAGTAGTTGTGATGATATGTACGGTTTTACTAACACATGTCAACATTGTAAAATTGTGCTTAAGCATTAAAGTTTGTTTTACCCTCAGGCGTGAAGGGTTTAACAAATAAACTACAAAAAAAAAAACTACTATTTTAACAAATACAGCTACAAATACCCATTAATATCTATCTTCCTGTCTGTGTGAAGGTGTGTAAAAAAAAAACCCTTTATCATGCTCGAGCAATATACACAGGGCAAGCATGGGAAAGATCCATTGCGTTTAGGACCTAGAAATGTTAAAAGCTGCTTTTTAGGAAGAACAACATCAGCATTAACAACACTGTCCCGTATGGATTTGGCTTTCCAGACTTCAAGGGTGTTTGATGGAATTCTCCAATTGTGAACGTGAATGTGTTTTAATAGCATTATATACCCTATCTGAAAATTGGTGGTATTGTGACAAAAAAAAGTAATGCGCGAAGCACCCCTTCTGTGATTTGTTACCTACTAGTAATACTGTTCTAGTAGTATTTAACCTCCCTAGCGGTATTCCCGAGTCTAGCTCGGGGTAAAATGTCTATACCAAAAGCGGTAACCCCGAGCTAGACTCGGGCTTACCATGCGGCGCTGCATAGGGAGTCCCTGCAGAGCTTACCTTGTCCTTCGCTCCCGCGATGTGTCCCCTGCAGCGTCCCCCGCCATCTCCTCCGGCTGATGCCGGCATCCGGCTTCTGTGTTCCGGTTCCCGTGACGTCGGGACGTACGGGCGCCGCCGGCGGTGGGAAATTTAAAAAATTTAAAAAATGTCGTTTTTTTTATTTTTTATTTTAAATAGTAAAACATTGCTGTTTCATCCCATTTCACATACATATTGTCCCTAGTGCTTTGTCCTGTGCCCTGCCTGCATTTTTACTGTTCTTTCTGCCTGGAAACTGAGAAACGTCCATGGCGTCCAAAAAGCGTCCCTTTACGTCAAAAGCAGTTTTAGACCGGCTAGAGAACAGTGATAGTAAATCAGAACCACTTGCAGAATTGAGTGATAATGATTTGTGGGGAAATGTTCCTAAAAATTACAGCCTACAATAAAAAACTATTTCCATGCGAAAAAATGGTACTGCTTTTCAGCACAAAAAAAATCGGAAAGAATCATATCGCCAGGGAGGTTAAAATTCTTGTTTTTTCTTTTTCCAACTCAGTCAGAGGGTTACCCCTATCACTCAGTTTCTGTACCATCTCCATGTGACTTTGTTCCCACACTCACTCACTATCCTGCCCACTCTAGCCATCTGACTCTTGAATGTAATAACAACTGGTTGCAGTCTGCGTGCCTAACATATAAATCTGTATCTATTGCAGTCCATACATGGTTCGAATTCCGAATGATTTTCATACGAATATTGGACCTATGTATGAAAGGTCAGTATGATTTCACACTGTATTTCCTATTTTTTTCCTATTTCCTATTCTTTTTTATTTCATATGATTTGTTTTAAATCCTTAACCATTACATGCAAAAGCTTTCTTATATAATTTGAATAATAATTCAAATTTATCTTGCACTGGTTTGTTTTGCAAATAGTTCTGATTCATTACTTGTTTTCAGGAAAGGGGAGAAATAGCTTCATGCAAAAATTAGCCTTTTAGCTTCCACCTGGTGATCAGGGTAATCAGGGTAAAACGTACTTGTTATGTGTGCAAAAATTAACCAGTTATAGGCAGTATTACATGATGCCATGCCAGAAACCTTATGAGGATGGAGCTGCTGATGTCCACCCTGGCAAAGGGAGAACAAAGCTGCAGCTATTGCCACAGGTTTTTGAGCTTATAATCAAGCTAAAGTTTAATTATTAAAGAGACCCTGTCAGTTTACCAAACAAATCCAAACTGCAGGTCCCCACAAATGAGGTATTATACTTAAAGTTCTGCTGGCCCATGTTTTCCAACTTCCCTCCACAGGGCTGTCTTAACAGAATCATAGGCCCCTGGGCAAAGTAATGCACTAGGGCCCCTAAGAACATGGCCCGCACCTACTCTCAAGAAAACATGCCAAAAAAACATGCCATGAATCATAGGCTCAACACAAAGGGCACAATTAATTAATTTTTTCTTTAAACGCATTGGGTCCTACCCCCATTCCTATCAAGCCTTTTGACTCTGGTATGGATTTTGAGGAGAACCCTCTTGCCAAAATTAAAAAAAAAAAAAAGGTGTGTGGGGCCCCCTACAATACATACCAGACCCTTATCTGAGCATGCAGCCTACTAGGTCACAAAAAAGCGGGGCAAGCAAGCCCCCCCCCCCCATTTCTGAACCATACCAAGTCAAATGCCCTCAACATGGGGAGGGGTGCTTTGGGGCAGGGGGGCATCACATGTGCAATTTGTCAGTGAGTGATGACATCATCAAGACACACAGCCTGGTCTTCTAGTGCCTGCTGGTCTGCTGATCTGTGTCATTGTTGGTGCTGGTGTGTTGTGTCAGATCTGTCACTGTGTGGGATCACTCAGTTCAGGTGTTCTCTCTCTCTGTGTGGACTGGGCTGCCTGCTATCATAGAGTTTTATCTCCCCGCATTGCCTGGGGAATTCCAGGCAGTGATCTATCAGAGCTATCTTATGGCACTTATTTTTGTGCAAATTAGAAGAAATTTTGCAGTTTCATGTTTTGTTGATTTAATGTTTTCTACTGTTATAAAAAAATGTTATCTTTTTTTTGTGGGGGGGGGGGGGGGGGGGGCACAAGTAGCTGGTCTTGCCTAGGGGGCAAAATAGTCTAGCACCAGCCCTGGGTGGATGGGGGAATCTCCCCTGGCTGACAGATAGACAGGCCCATGGCTGTCTGAATACCCAAACAGACAATTTTCCAAGGGCTCCTGCAAAAATGTTGGCGAGTTCAGCAGGAATTGGCTAGCCTTTATATGTTGTCACTTCCCACATTTTCTATAGCCAAACTGGGGGGTCTCTAGCTGCTATATTAATTGACAAAAAGGTTAACTATAGCCAGGTACTGGACTACAGAAACATGGAGAAGGAGATATTTCCTTGTATACAAATCAATTTACTTTCATTTTCAGTTGTTATGCTGAATGTGGTGTTGCATTATCCCCTCCAGTCAGCAGATGGAGAACTATAGCCAGGAAAGCCTATGGACTTCTATGCGGGAAATGGAGGATCATGGGATGTGTAGTCTGAAACATAGTACACAGCATGGGACCTTTAACCACTTGACTACTGGGCACTTTTACCCCCTTCCTGACCAGGCCAATTTTCAGCTTTCAGCACTGTCGCACTTTGAATGACAATTGCGCGGTCATACAACGCTGTACCCAAACAAAATTTTTATAATTTTTTTTGAGACAGATAGAGCTTTCTTTTGGTGGTATTTAATCACCACTGTTTTTTTTTATTTTTTGCTAAACAATCTAAAAAAGACTGAAAATTTTGCAAAAAAAAAGTTTTTTCCTAGTTTCTGTTATAAAATTTTGTAAATGATAAATTTTTCTACTTCAATGATGTGCGCTAATGAGGCTGCAGTGATGGGCACTGATAGGCAGCACTGATGGGCATTAACAGGTATCACTGGTGGGCACTGAAAGGCAGCACTGATATATGGCGCTGATGGGCACTGAAAGGCGGCACTGACTGGTGCTGATAGTTGGCACTGAAAGGCAGCTCTGATGGGCACTAATATGTGGCATTGATGTGCACTGAAAGGCAGCTCTGATGGTCATTAATATGTGGCATTGATGTTCACTGATAGGTGTCATTGATGTGCACTGATAGGCACTGGTATGTGGCAATTATGGGCACTAGCAGGTGGCACTGATGGGGCTACACCAGTGTTTCTCAACTCCAGTCCTCATGGACCCCCAACAGGTCATGTTTTCAGGATTTCCCTCAGATGAAACAGCTGTGGTAATTACTAAGGCAGTGAAACTGATCAAATCACCTGTGCAAAATAATGGAAATCCTGAAAACATGACCTGTTGGGGGTCCATGAGGACTGGAGTTGAGAAACACTGGGCTACACTGATCATCAGGGCACTGATGATCAGTGCCCTGATGATCAGTGTACATGTCCCCTCTTAGGAATGCCGCTTACCGGCTCTCCTCTCCTCATGCGCTGTAAGCGTGAGGAGAGGACTGCTGATAACCGGCATTTCTTATTTACATGCAATCAGCTGTGATTGGACACAGCTGATCACATGATAAAGCCGACATCATTGGCTCTTTACTGTGATCAGTGATCCGTTGTATCCCAGAGACACAGCACACCACCGTTTGCCGTGCCGCGTTCCCCCTAGGTGAAACACCGCGCTCCTGTCATTTCCTTATATGGCGGGCGGGAGGCAGTTAAAAAGCAATGCAAACACATCTGCTGCATACTGAACAGACTGCTGAAAGGAAAGACCAGTGGAGACATCCGAGGCAGCGCAGCACAGACTGCAGTTAATGCACCTGCACCATTGCTGCAGAGAGACCAGAGCAGCCTCTCACCCTCTACTTCCCAAAGCTGAATCTCAGGAGACATGCTGTGGAGAGACTGAGGGGGCTTCCTTTCTACAGCGAAAGTTCACATCTGTACCACAGAGACTGGTGCGAGGGCTCATTGTCCATTGTTCACACTGCTAGCAGGGACTGAGTTACTGAAGGCATGACATCAAGTGTATCATACCTTCACCGCACCTATACTGCACCCACACCACACCTATACCGCACATATACTGAATCTTTACTGCACCTATACTGCATGCTGGTTTACAAAAACTGTTGTAAAGTTCACCAAAAGGGCCCCAATGATAGCCAGCAGAAGAACAACATAAGAACTGCCCCTCCTGTAAAACTAGCCCGCAAACCCCCTTTGTCCCCTTATCCCTTTTCCTTCATTCGATGGACAGTGCACATCCAGTCTGTCAAGACCTAGCATAGTCGTCGTTAATGCACTTTGGCAGTATAGTTCCTGTGTTCAGAAAATCAAGCTTTATTACTGCCCACTGCTGCATCTTAGGCAACTTTGCTACTGTGTATGCTGATCTGGAAAGTGTCATCTTGTGCCTAGTCCTTATTACTGATCATCTTGTATGCTAAATTGTGTTAATCCATTTCTATGCTTCCTTCGCTACCAACTATATCAGGTGACAATATAATAAGTTTGCCTTTACTAATTTTTCAGTGCCTGTTTTTTTTTATGTACGACTGGGTACTTTCAATGATATTCTGTGATATTGCTTGCATTGTTCACTCAACCTAGTGTGTAAAAAGGGGTGATGTTCTTAAAGGGGTCCAGGCAAAGAAGAGAGAACCCATTCTAACCAATGGCTCCTACGGAGATAGTGAGGGGACATATCTCTTCACCACTGTATCCAAAATGAAAACAAAAGGCTTTAATAAACTTTCATGGATCACCTTGGTTAGTAAGGTTACATTCAAAAGTGGGTACATGATCTGCATTTTCAAAGCACCTCCTAACCAACAAGGCTTAAAAAATATGTAAACCCAACATTTCATATTTCTAATATGTGCCTGCTGTGCCATGTACTTGTATGAAAGTATCCTGTCCTCTTTGTAGTGCTTCCTTTGTGTGATATCCCTGGTGTTCCTGCCAGTTCCTCTGCTTTACTATTAAAAACTGGCCACATTAGGCAGGACAGCACAGCGTGGTCAGTTCTTTAGATCTGCTGGGAACTCAGCCTGCTCTGCTCCAATGATCAGATTTGCCCTGACATGCCCCTACCCTTCCCCACTGCACAGTCATTCACTAGGAAGACCAATATCATATTGTCATACCTGTAGGCCATTTGGGTCCCGCAGAGCCATGGCTGAAAAGCTCCCAGTTAGCAAACCCTAGATCCTGTCTTGTTGCTAGGACACAAAATAAGTTGGACGATCTCTCCCAGCACTACAGGAGTGAAAACTAATAGTTTCAGGTCCTAGCAATGAGGCAGAACATGGTAGTTTCTAACTGGGAGTTTTCCCCAGGCTTGTGAAGGGGGACAAATAGCCTACAGGTATGATAATGAAATGAGTGACCATTTTACAAAGCTGCACAGTTTTATTATATCTACGGAAGTCCCTTGACTGCATAGGTTATTTTCTGGCAAGAACCTTTAAAGTAAAGCAAAAGCCAAAACTTTTTTTATTTTGGATAGCGTAAGGGAGGGTTAGAATAAACCCGTCAACCTTTTTTTGCCATCTGTGTCTTGGGAAGGTTTCCATGCGCTTGCTGTCTCTTAGCCAAAAACAGAAATAAGAGGAAATCTCTTCTGAGTGAGGGAATCCCTGGTTGCCACCAGAACTAGTGTCCCAATTGGAAGATTACCCATCTATACATCAAGATTTCCCCATAGACATCAATATAAACCAATAGAGATCACTATAAGCCCATATAAATTACTAGGAGCCCATAGACATTACTAGGAGCCCATAGACATTACTAGGAGCCCATAGACATTACTAGGAGCCCATTACTAGGAGCCCATAGACATTACTAGGAGCCCATAGACATTACTAGGGAGCCCATAGACCAGGGATGTCCAACCTATGACCCACAGGCCGCATGTGGCCCAGGACAACTATGAATGGGGTCCAACACAAAATCATAAACTTACTTCAAAATTTTTTTTTTTTTTTTTTTTTCCTTTATAAAAATGTGTTTGCATTTAACAAACACATGCAGACGAAGACAAATCTGACAGTCTCACTTTCCTAGACTTTTAAAAGTTTTACCTTCCCAAAGAAAAATATCCCTCTCTTCACAATTACGCCTTATTCATATCATCAGTTTTTGGCAGCACCTAGATTTGTGAGCAACTATTCAAGGATGAAGCACAAAGGGCAAAATTAGAACCAAAACATCTGATGAGCACCTTGAGAATTAATTGAGAATTGTTACTCCCAGGGGCGGACTGACCATTTGGAAACTCGGGTGCTGCCCGAGGGCCCGGGGTCAATAGGGATGAGATGCCCCTGATACCTTTTTCATAGGCTTTTTTGAGTTTGGGCGAGGACACAGGGGCCCCATGATCGCCTATTGCCCGAGGGCCCCATGAGTTGTCAGTCCGCCCCTGGTTACTCCATCCATCCATCCAACCAGATATTGATGCATTAGGTTGCTTTCACACTGATCAGTTGTTCATTTTTTGCGTTAAAAAAAGCAGAAGAAAAACGCATGACCAATAAATCCTATGGAGATCTTCACGTCAGATGAGTTTTTCAAAGTCCTGCAAGCTAAATTTTTGGCAAACATTTGATGCGGTAAAAAAAAAAAAATACACCAAAAACATACCTCCCCTTTGGAATGAATGGAAAATGCGTCAAAAATGCACTTGTGTCACGGTTACAGCATTTTTGCAATGGAGCAGTGTGAAAGTTGCCTTAAGTTGTAAAAAACAGTGTCAAATATCACACTAGTTTTATGTTACTTTCTTGTATTTAAAATAATAAAAAATTGAAATGAAAATGAAGTTTTATTTACTCAGATAGGTACATTATTCACAGTATATCAGTGATCTGCCTGACTTTTTCTGCTTATCAGTTAACCTTAATGTTAGTGTAATTTAGGCTCCAATCACATCTAGGTGTTTTTATATTGTGATTCTGCTCGTAATCCCAAAACGCTCTCTAAAACTGACATTGCACTGCGTTTGTGGAGGTACCATTCATTTTCAATGACACCTAAAACGTGGTGCGATTCTGCCATGATTGTTGCACGATAAATCGCGCTGCAGTTGCGCAAGCTGCATCATGCGAAGCTTGTCACCCCAAAAGAAGCTCCTACTCCTTTTTGGGTGACAAGCTTTGTGCGATGCGGTTTGCCGCCTATTGCAGTGCGATTTATCATGCAACAATTGCGGGAATTTGCATCACACCCGCATTTAGGTGCCATTAAATTAATGAAATTACACCTGAATGGCATCTGAACAAGTGTGGTGCAATTTGTCAGTTTTGCAGAGCGCTTTGGGATCAGGGGCAGAATCGTGGAGATTGTGCCCACAATATAAAAATGCCTAGATGTGAATAGAACCCTATAGACAATTCCACTTCTTCCAATATGGTCCAGGAAAATCAAAAGGTTGGACACCCCCCTGTCATAGACAATACTAGGAGCCCATAGATATTACTAGGAGACCACAGACATTGCTAGGTAGGAGCCCGTAGACAATACTAGGAGCCCATTGATATTATTAAGGAGCCCGTAGACCACAATTGACAATACTAGGACAACCCCCGTAGACAATACTAGGACCCCGTAGACAATACTAGGACCCGTAGACAATACTAGGACCCGTAGACAACACTAGTAGACAATACTAGGACCCCGTAGACAATACTAGGACCCCGCAGAGCCCGTAGACAATACTAGGACCCCGCAGACAATACTAGGACCCCGCAGACAGCACTATGAGCTCAACACTAGGAAACATTACTAGACAACACTAGGAGCCCGTAGACAACACTAGGAGCCCGTAGACACTGACAGCCCGTACTAGGAGCCCACTGACAGTACTAGGAGCCACTGACAGTACTAGGAGCCCACTGACAGTACTAGGAGCCCACAACACTAGGACAGTACTAGGAGCCCACTGGACAGTACTAGGAGCCCACTGACAGTACTAGGAGCCCACTGACAGTACTAGGAGCCCACTGACAGTACTAGGAGCCCACACCCACGAGAGGAGCCCACTAGACAGTACTAGGAGCCCACTGACAGTACTAGGAGCCCACTGACAGTACTAGGAGCCCACTGACAGTACTAGGACCCTGTAGACAACATTATGAGCCCATAGACATTACTAGGTGCCCATTAACAATACTAGGACCCCTGTAGACAATACTAGGAGCCCAAAGACATTACTAGGAGACCATATACAATACAAGACCATGTAGACAATACTAGGACCCAGTAGACAGCACTATGAGCCCATAGACAATATTAGGAGCCAACAGACAATACTAGGACCCTGTAGACAATACTAGGAGCCCACAGACATTACTAGGAGCCCTGTAGACAATACTAGGAGCCCACAGATATTACTAGGAGCTCATATACAATACAAGACCCTGTAGACAATACTAGGACCCAGTAGACAGCACTATGAGCCCATAGGCAATATTAGAAGCCCACATACAATACTAGAACCCTGTAGACAATACTAGGAGCCCACAGATATTACTAGGAGCCCTGTAGACAATACTAGGAGCCCACAGATATTACTAGGAGCTCATATACAATACAAGACCCTGTAGACAATACTAGGACCCAGTAGACAGCACTATGAGCCCATAGGCAATATTAGAAGCCCACATACAATACTAGGACCCTGTAGACAATACTAGGAGCCCACAGACATTACTAGGAGCCCGTAGACAATACTAAGAGCGCATAGACTATGCTAAGCCCCCTTGACAATATTAGGACCCTGTAGGCAATACTAGAAGCCCATAGACAATACAAGGACCCTGTCAAAAATTACAGGAGCCCCCAGACTGTACTAGAAGCCCATTGATATTATTAGGACCCCACTGACAATACTAGAACCTCGTAGACAATACTAGGAGCCAGGGGCGGACTGACCATTTGGAAACTCGGGAACTGCCCGAGGGCCCAGGGTCAGTAGGGGGCCCCATGAGATGCCCCTGGTACCTTTTTCATAGGCTTTTTTTAGTTTGGGCAAGGACACAGGGGCCCTATGATCTCCTATTCCCCGGGCCCCATGAGTTGTCAGTCCGCTCCTGCTAGGAACCCATAGACAATACCAGAACCCTGTCGCCAATTACAGGAGCCCCCAGACTATACTAGGAGCCCATAGACAATACTAAGAGCCCGGCGTAGACAATACTAGGAGCACATGCTCTATCTGGAGAAGATGATGACAGAACACAGCTGTACAGTCTAGTAATGATCCTTATCAAGAGGAGGGGCTTACAAGTGACTTTTACGTATTAGAAGGGTGTGGCCAAGGGACACAATTACCACTCCTCCAATCAGACAGCTCGGGGCGCCCCTGTGGGGACTCCCTATAAAAAGGGCGCGATGGGGAGCGACAGAACATTAGTCAGTCCTGTGAGTGTTTTGAGAGGTTTTGGTTGGCAGTGATTGGCAGTGATGGCGCCTCCTCGGAATAGATAGCCAAAGAGGAGCTCGGTGCGTATTATGGAAGAAGCTATCGTTATCTCAGACGACGACGAGGAGGAGGAATTAATTTCACACACTCGGAGGACGAGCCTCGGGGGGCACGACTTCTGACAGAAAGTTCAGACTGTGTGAGTAGTACAGGAGAGCGGTGACTGACTGGGTTGCTGAGTCACGTGATCCTCAGAGCTGTCATATACCTGACACTGGGTCCAAGCACTGCTCTGATCGTTTGATTATTATTATACTGGGATTTATGGGGTGAAGTAGGGGAGGAGAGATCGGGCGAGCAGGTATACTGTGAGGTCCAGGTAGGACATTATGAGATTTGTATAGCTGAAGGAGGAGTGGGAGCGAAGTAGTTAATTAGTTGTATTTACTAATAACACGAGTTGTATGCTCTTCATGTGGCGTGTGTTCACATGACACTTTCTGTGCCGGGGACAGGATCAAACATGCTTCACTACCTCTCCTCATCTTTGTGACTATTACTGGCTGCTTTCACTTTCGTCTTTGTGCTTGCTGTGTGGCTACTTTAAAGCTTTGCTCCTGTCTACCCATCGTGTGTATTTCATTTAAAGTGTCACTTGTTTTTGCCCTGTGTTCTGTAGAGGAGATTTCTCTTCACTTCCTGTCCCTTAGCCAAAACAGGAAGTGAGGGAATCCCTGGTTGTCACCAGAACTAGTCCCCACAGGCAGATTCCCCCCCTTCTAGTCCTGTTCTGCTGAGAAACCTTTTCACTTTTGGTGAGAACAGTAAAACAGGATAAGGGGGAAAATCCCTAAAGCCTAGAACACACGATGACCATATCGGACGAATGGTCGTGTGTTTTGGCTTCTTCTTTGCATGGCAGTCTCAAATCAAAAAATGAAGAGGTTACCCAAATTAGGGAAATTCTCATAGGACAGCGTATAGTTTTGCAGTCTTTATCTTGTGCTGTATTTTTGAACGACTACTGTACTAATTAAACAAATCATACAATCTGGTATTGTACAAGACATTTTAACACTAAAACTTTTGGACCTTGAATTGTCTTTCTCAGCTCTCGAAAGATCTATTGTAACGATTCGATTATTGGATGAACGCTCAAATTTTCATAAGATTTTCTGAGGGCACAGAACAATTTACAGGCGTTCTAATCCCTCTCCACTGTATCCAAAGCGTAAAAAAAAAAAAATGTGCCTCTAGGTATTTTAACCACCTGCTCCCCCCCCTCTTCCTGACCAGGCCATTTCTTTTTTTTTTGTTTTTGTGATACGGTGCTGCGTTCCTTTTACTGACAATTGCACGGTCATGCAACACTGCACACAACTGAAATTTGTCTTTTTTTTTTTTTTTTATCCCACAAATAGAGCTTTCTTGTGGTGGTACTTGATTTTGTGTTTGGTTTTTTTTTTTTTTTTTTTTTTTTTTTTTTTTTTGCGCTATAAACAAGAGATCGACAGGTTTGAATAAAACTATTTTTTACTTTTTGGTATAAAATACTTTAAATAAATCAAAATTTTTTTTCATACATTTAGCCCAAAATGTATTCTGTGACATTTCTTTGCTAGAAAAAAAAACTGTGTGTGTCTTTATACTAGTAATGGCAATCAGCAACTTTATTGCGAGACTGCAGTGGGCATTCTGACACTGGGTGGGAACTGGCTGCCACTGAAATCCCCAGTGACACTAGGGCTACGTTAACACTAGCGTTGTGTGCAGGCAGCAGAAAGGCATTTGGGAAGTGTTTTTACCACTTCCCAAACACCTCGGACAATTCTGCACATTGCAGCCCATGGTGCTGTTCTAACAGGAGCGTCAGCGACGCGGCAAAATGGACACCTCTGGTCGAGTCAGGAGGCGTTGAAGCCTCCTATTCTAGTCTATGATGCTGCTCCGCAAACGGCCGGCGTGTGCGGTTGCGACGTGGTTGCAGGGCGTTTGCGTAGCGGTAACACCGTTCAAACTTCATTATAGGTGTTTGTAGGGCGTTTTTAACGCTTGGCAACCGCCGCTGAACCGCGCATGCGGCATTGTTGAGCATTAAACGCTCCACAAACGCCGGACCAACACTTGTCAAACGCTATAGGGGCGTTTGGCAAGAGTTGGTAAAACAGTCAAGTGTGAACGAGCCCTAATAGTCGTCAATGCTAGTAAAAAGTACTGACACTGGGCAGGAGGGGGTTAACTGGGGCAATCAAAGGGTTAAATGTGCTGTTTGTAAACACAGGTCTCTCTCCTGTCAGCTTTCGTCAATTGCCAGCCAGGATCCAGTGATTGACATCCCTAGCCATCAATAGTGGCGCTGGTAGGGCGGCTTGTGCTTTCTACCCAGAAATGCAAATCATGTGTTTGTACGTGATTTTGCGCAACCCTACCGCTCTATAGCCCTACTTCTGCTATAGGGCGGCAGGCAAGTGGTTAATCTTCTATTTGGGTTCCTTTGTTTTGCTTACAGCAGAACTAAACCCTCCTATTTCAAAGCTGCAGACTCAGTGCAATTTCATGTGGCTTGCCTGACATCTGTGTGACTTTGTGCACAGATGTCCATGCAAGTTGCACCTGACATAGCTGAAAATAGCGCAGGAATTATATTTACAATTGGTGTGACTCTGATGGCATCGCACCCATTTGACTGGTTCCAATCCGATTTGAATGGTTCCATTGCCAACAAGTCGCATCAGTGTGAACCAGGGCTTGAGAGCAAGATGTGAGCAGTCTAATGAGTTCATGTGATCCACCTTGTTCAGGTGTTTCTGACTGTCGATCAAAAAGATTATTTTATTTATTTATATTTTTTTTGTTTGCAGCTTTTGCAACGCAAGAACATATGACAGTGTTTATTACAACATATAATTCAGTGGGGTGCAGCCCACTCTCTAGAGGGCTCAATAATTTGTGTGCACCTGTGACAAGTAAATGATTCAACTTGGGGAGGGGGAGGGGAGAGAGTTGGTTATCCTCATGAGACACTACCAGTCTACAAAGTATGCAGATTATTTGTCTAACACTTTTATTTATAAAAAGAAAGATCAGTACTACGCAAAGTGCTTGCATAAAGTCATTTTCACCACATCTAATTTTTTTTTTTTTCCTCTTCAGGGCCCACTCACACAAGTACTATCTGATCAATACATGAATGTGTTCAGGTTGCGGTTTCTTTCCTGTATAAAAGATCTAAAACTACGAACAGCAGTAAATATTGATCCTGCTTGGTTTTGACGTAGAATGTAAATATAAATATAAACATGTGCATTCTTTGCTGTGTTCCCCACTTCTGGCTCAGTTCGCTGTGGCAAAGTGATCTGGAAGTTTCCCCTTTTGTCTATTGGGAACACCTTTTTTATACTATGTGGATTGATTATCAGCAGTGTCTGAACCTGCTCTGGTGTTCAACAAAATTGTTGGCTCCTGATGTATTGATGTGACGCTGCAGCAGCTGTCTAATGAGGTAAACATGACAACCGTGTAAGTTTGGCATGGCAATGTGTGCATGGTGTGCCCCCCCCCCCCCCCCCCCCTTGATTTTAAAACTGCTTGGACGAAAGTCCATACACAATTTGTCCTTATCGGGCTGCAGTCTATTCTCTTTAAAGCAGAGTTCCACCCAAAAGTGAGAGCTCTGCTTGTTTCCATCCCTCCCCACAGCCATATTTGGTGCTTTTTTGGGGGGGCGCAGACACCTGGTTTCCACAGGTACCCACTCCCACTTCTGGCTCAGTTCACCGTGGCAAAGTGAGCTGGAAGTTCAGCCCCCCTCCTTCATCCTGCAGTCTTCTGGGACCTGTGACTGCCAGACCAATCAGAATGCACAGCGCAACTCTCCCATGCACAGTGAGCACCCAGCCGTCAAAGCCTGGTGCCCACAGTTGAGATGCCAGCACTGGGGAGAGGGACGGTATGGGTGAGCACATCACTGGACCCTAGGACAGATGAGTGCATTTAAATCGGCAGCTACAGTTTTTGTAGCTGACTTTTGGTAAACCCAAAAATGACAAACTCTGCTTTTAAAGCCTGGTTCACTCCAGATGCAGTTCAGTGCTTCCCCCCCCCCCCCCCCTTTAAACGCATGGGCAGTATGTTGTATGGATCCCAATAGCCTAGTTAACACCACTGTCGCTAGAACCTGCTGCATTTTTTTCCTGCACTGTACAGGAATACAGAAAAATGTGCAAAAAATGTCCTTATTTTTAGAAAGGAGGGGAAAGATGCACTGGAATGCATCTAGACTACATTTCTGTGACGTGAAACTTTGTACCCTTTAAACTCATACCCAATCTCAAGGTACCAAATTCTAAAATGTAAACCATTAAACTAATAGATTTTTGATCAGATTCAGGGCTGATGCTGCCAGCACCATGCTTCACTGTGGGTATGGTGTTCTTTTGGTGATGTGCAGTGTTTTTGGCCAAAAAGGTCAACCTTGGTTTTATCAGACCATAACACATATTCCCACATGCTTTTTGGGAGACTTCAAATGTGGTTTTGTAACATTTAGCTGGGCTTGGATGTTTTTCTTAAGAAAAGGCTTCCGTCTTGCCACTCTACCCCGTAGCCCAGAGATATGAAGAATATGGGAGATTGTTGTCACATATAGCACACAGCCAGTACTTGCCAGATATTCCTGCAGCTTCTTTAATGTTGCAGTAGGTCTCTTGGCAGCCTCCCAGACCAGTTTTTTTTCTTTTTTGATCAATTTTGGAGGGAAGTCCAGTTCTTGGTAATGTCACTTTGCACCATCCTTTCTCCACTTGTCTGTCTTAACTGTGTTCCATAGTATATCTAATGCCTTGGAAATTTTTGTACCCTTCTTTTGACTGATACCTTTTTAACAATGAGATTCTTCTGATGCTTTGGAAGCTCTCTGCAGACCATGCCTTTTGCTGTAGGATGCGACTAGGAAAATGTCAGGAAAGACCTATTAGAATAGCTGAACTTTATTTGTACAGTTTATAGGTCACGTTAAAGGTGGAAAGTTCTGAAATTATTTCTTTGTCCGTGGTGTTTTTTTTTTTTTTTTTTTTTTTTTTTTTTTTTTTTTTTTTTTTTTTTTTTTTTACTCCAGTGCAACATTTAACAGAGCAAAAAAGCAAACGTGAGATTTTGGTTTTGCATACACCTTAAAGTATGTGTGGTGTGTGCTACATC